TGAACTTACCCATAACACAGAAATAGAGTCACACGTGTAGAAAACAAACTTATGGTTACCAGGGTAACAGGGGAAGGGATAAATTGGGAGATTGGGATTGACATATACACGCTACTATATATAAAACAGATAACTAACAAGGACCTACCATACAGCACAGGGAACTCTACTCAATACTCTGTAACGGCCTATATGGGAAAAGAATCCGAAAAAGCACAGATATATGTATATGTATAACAGATTCACTTTGCTGTACATCTGAAACTAACACAACATTGTAAATCAACTATACTCCCATAAAAATTTTTTAAAAAAGAAAGTGGGAATTACATTTTAATATCAGAAACACCCAGAAGGATTACCTGTCCACGACACTGAGCTAACTGCTCCAACAAGAAAACACCACAACTCTAAGATGTGAATTCCATGAGGGAAGGGATGTCTATCTGCTTCACACACTGCATAATCCGGTTACCCAATCCAGGAAGCGTTCAACCCATATTTGCCAAATGAGTGCATCTGACCTGAACCACTAAGGCCGAGCCTCCATTCCACCCTGAAAACTCAGCTTCATCTCATCACTTCCCTAAATTCAGATGACCTTTCTCAGTTCCCCTGCCTCTGAGATTCTCACTTGCAAAAGCGCCCTCTGAGATTCTCACTTGCAAAAGCGCCCTTGCTGACGTGCTGCTTTAGGTGACAATCACATATGTGTCCTCTCTTAAAACTAGAGTAAACACTTTGAGAGTACGGACCACATCCTCCGAGGTGTGGTTTTGTGGCCTGGGAAACTACTGCATTCGCCAGTGCGCATGAGTGGGCTGTATGAGCAGAGGCTGTCCGGACGGAGGAGCGATGGACGTGGGATGGAAGGATGGATGGATGTTGCCTGTACCCAGCCCAGCCCCGCCCCAGATCCCTACTAAGCATCTGAGCTCAACACAGAGGCCAGAGCCCTCCACCGACCACAGCAGGGCAGGGTCCCTCCTTGCCTCAAACGCCTAACGCAGTCCGGGAGCATCCTTCTAGCTTCCTTGCCTCATCCCGCTAGCCACCTGGAAATGCATGGATGCACTGCTCTGACAGGGTTAAAATAGAAGCTTGACAGTGTGTGTTGTTCCAGGGAGCAGCCGGACAGGCTGTGCGTGTTTAGACAAGATGGGGAAAGCTAGCATCTCCCTTTAGGCAAGAAACATAGCAGGAGAGCAGGTTTTCATTCCTTGGACTTTGAGGAACATGATGGGTGGGACGTCAACAATTATCCAAAGGAAGTCTGGTTTGGTGGGGACAAAACCCAGTGGTCCCACACCCAGCACTTTCCAAAACTTCATGACTCACGACCGTGCCATGAGTCTAATATGACATGTATTTGTTCCTGAAAGCAATGTGATTAAAATTACTTGGTTCCGAGAATTTTAATTTTTGTTTTGTTCTGTTTTTAGGACTCTTGCAACAGGCTTGAGATCATTTATAGAGGCCTCCTCAAGGCCATTGTTCTATTTTTTTCTTTATAAGCAGTGAGAAAATGACAAAACTACAGGAGCAGTAAACAATGGAGACAAAAAAGGACAAATGTCAGTGTTAACATCCAAGTAAAAGTTACTCCAGAGTGAACGCAATGCACACAGTGATACATCAACACTGCCCAGAATGGTAACCAGGCGTGAGAGAATTCAGATCACCAGAGGCCCCTGGTACCCTGGGTGGGGAGGTGATCTCCCTGTCCCCAAATCCAGCATACTCTCCCCCGACCACCACCTTCCTCTCATTCTCTTCATCCTTCACCCCTCCGCCTTGCCAGCGCTTACAAGAACTTTCCTACCCATTCTAGGCCCACCGAGCTCCATCTTCCTCAACGCCCCCAGCCTCTTACACAGGTTAATTCAGTTAACCTAGCAACACAGCACTAAGCTCCCCACACAACTACCCTCTGAGGGAGGTATTATTATTATTATTATCATCCCCCTTTCGTGGATGAGCAGACTGAGGTGGAGAGAGGTTAATTCGCCCAAGGTGACACAGCTACCAGGGCAGACCTGGGGTTCCAAGTCGGGCCTTAGAGTCCATGTTCACGTGCATCTTAACATTTATAGCATCTTCCACCAAACCTCTCAATTACACAGCCCCCTCCCTTGCCTCTCACAGTCCAGTGTGGTGACTCTTGGGTTTGTTTTCTCTCTCCAGGGAGAACAGGGAACCTCATCTTGCTTGTCCTCATACTAATACGGATCCTCCTCATTGGCCTGCAAATGTTTCTGCTTGGGTTCCCCACTAAAAGAATCTGGAAAAACAAAACACCCCTTCCGTATTAACTCAAGCTGCCATAGCAAAGTACCATAGACTGGGTGGCTTAAAAAATAGGAATGTATTTTCTCCTGGTTCTGGTGGCCAGCAGTCTGAGATCAGGGTGCCGGCAAGGTCAGGTGCTAGTGAGAGCTCCCTTCCTGGCTTGTAGATGGCTGTCTTCTCACTGCACCCTCACATGGCCTTTCCTCAGTGTGTGCTCACAGAGAGAGACATGGAGAGACAGAGAGATTTCTCTCGCTTCCTCTTCTTATAAGGGCACGAATTCCATCATATGGGCCCCACCCTCATGACCTATCTAACCCTAATTCCTCCCAAAGGCCCCATCTCCAGATACTGTCACATTGCAGGGGGGAGGGGGGAGGGGGAGGAGCTTCAACATCTGAATGGTGAGGGGCACAAACATTCAGCCCCTAAAACCCTCACACAGGGTTAAGTTACCTTCATTGCTTCATCACAATTCTAAATAGCTGCAAAAGTTATCACTTCTATTGTATCCATAAATGTAGACTTTTATAACAAAACTATTAAACCATGCTTTTCAATGTATCCCATGTCATATAAACACCAGAGCAATTGCAGGATCTTAGTTCCCTGACCAGGGATTGAATCCAGGCCCCAGCAGTGAAAGCGCCGAGTCCTAACCACTGGACCGTCAGGGAATTCCCACCATCATTCATTCAAAAATTACTTGAGAAGAGTTCTCATTAGGTTGGAAATTTTCTATCATTTCTCTCTCTTTTTTTCAAAAACTGTATTTCCATTCTATCTCAATATACTAGACCTTTATGTTCAGAAGTAGTGAATTACCTTATCCTACTTTTCTGGAACACAGACTTTGTGTAGAAATTGAAATTTAATTGCTTATGCTTTGCTCCAAGTGTTAAAAAAAAAAAAAAATCTCTTCTGGGTCGAGCCACTATCATTACTACTGTAAGTAACTGTTTAGAATCAAACAACATATATTATCAATTTTGACAAATCATTATTAAGCACAAGGTAACTTTCTTGGAAATGCATCTTTAACAAGATGCACTTGGGAGATGGGACATATTGACTTGAAGAGAGGAGCTTTCCCTGACATAATATTTTGACCTTCCCCCCAGAGGTGTTTACAGCTAGAGCAGGGCACCCTAGTGAGATCTTGGCTCTGACTAAGCAAGAGAAGGCCCACCAGGCAGGAATAAAGGAACAGCGGGCCTGCCCCATGCTGAATTCTCAGACAAATCAGCTTCAGGAAAGAGCTGATGCTCTGAAAAGTGATTCCCCCAAAACTGTGCCTCAGAACAGATCTTCCCATTGGGAAATCTTCAAATTCTCCCCAAAACATGCATTTCTGTTTCCCTCAAACCATCAAATGTCAGGGTTGGGGGAAATCCTGTAAACCTCAAGATAAACCCAGCACCTCCACCTCGAGAGTCAGGATTCCTAGAGGGAAAAGTCTGTGAAGTTCTGTGCTGTCCGGAGAAGCAGATATTAACGTTTTAAAGCGAGAGTTTGAGTTCATCGAATACTCATGGTAAGACAGGCACGTGGTGCCGACACAGGGAAGGAGGAGAGCGGGCGGTGGGCAGGCTGTCCAGGCCTCCCTACGAGCCCCTCCAGGGCTCCCCCTCTGCCTTGGCTGCTCTCAGGACCCAGCCCTTAAAAGCGGGCTTATACTTCCCTGAGCTCCAGACAAAATTCCTTTCAGTCTACTTAGCCCAAGTTGAAGTTCTCACGGGCTGGTAAATGCAGGCAGCTTATTTGCAAGCCAGGGTCATATCTGCCTAGCAACCCAACATGCAGACTAGAAGGACTCGGAACGTCGACAGAGACCCGGCAGGCCAAGTCTGCACAAAGGAATCTGTTCTCATGCAAATGAGCCAAAACAGGAGGGCTAGAAAAGAGACAGCAGTGGGGACAGCTCTCGGGAGCCAATGCATTTCCAGAGATGTTGTGGGACTTTCTAAAGGCATCATTATAGCCTTGCCCCCTGTAAACGAAGGGCCCTAGGGGCTCTGCCGCCACTTGGGTTGCGACAGACACAACAGAAGAGGCTAAGAGGGGCGCTGAACCCTGAACTTAATTTCCTGATTTTTCTGGTTCTGTACTCCAGGTTCTAAAGGTCCTTTTGTTCGTATTTAGAACTAAACAGAGTTAGTTTTGTTTTTCTTTTTTTTTGGGGGGGGGGAGGTAATTGATTAGCATGGTAATGCAGTGCTTTCCCTCCTTTGCTTTCCCTGGAAGAGAGAGAAAAACAGGGGTTTTCACACTTGGTCTCACTAGGATTCAGGGAACAAGGTGAAGCCAGCCTCTAATCATGGTGGGCAAATGTCACCAGTTTGTGGCTGGCAAGACTGGACAGGGGTTGGGTTTCCAGACACCTTTTGCTGTTATCCGAGAGCAGGTGGCAAATGTCATACTTGGAAGCGCTCTCAGTTGCAAAAAGAGACAGTGTGTCTAAACCTTGGGGAAAATCCCTTCCATGCTCTGTGCCTCAACTTTTCTCATCTGTAAAATGGAGATGAGTGTCAACTGTAGAAGGTTGCTGATGGGCTTAAAATTAGATCACATGAACCACACCTAATACAGGGAACAAAGCAAAAGTGCAAAAAAAATACTAATAGGTATAATTAATATTAACAAAAGAGCATTACATTATTATTGTTATCATCATTACAGTCATATGCTCCTCCAACAGCTAGCCATCTCACCTGGTCATACGCTCAGATGTGACCTTCCCAAACGTCCATTCACCCCTAGGGCTTTCTGCATTATTTGCCTAATGTTTAAAACCAAGAAGCTGAAGCACCAAGATCTTTGGTGACTTGCTTGTCACTCAGCTATAGCTAATGGGCTGCACCCCTAGGTTCCTAAGCAGGTCTCAATACAGTATGTGCTGTGTCATGTTAAATATGACATTTCCACACTCAGCAGGGACAGGTCCCAAGGCACTGTAAGATCCTAAACTATATTTACAGGCATTCCTATTTTAGCATCAAGTGCTTTCATGCCGGTGGTTAAAGTCACATTCTAAATTTCATGACGTGTGGAGTCCTGGAAGAACAGCTCGAAAAAGGACCGCGTGCAGGATGTGTGCTGCAGTCAGCTGGTGGACTTGGAAAGCCGCAAACAGCAGTAACAGTAAGAGCTACTGGCTAGGGAGGGCGTAGCATACATAACGCCAGTCGCTGTGATCCGTCCTTCACCGGCATCATCAATTAGATCCTTTGATTCTGGGAATATCATGATTGTCCCCAGGAAGCTAGGTTACTCGGGCAAGGTTGCAAAGTTCATCAGTGGCCCCCGGCTGTACCGTCCCGGTCGTAAGCAGGCACTCTGCGCCAACACACCTGCTCCCCGAACCCACGCCAGAGCTTGTCAACAGCACAAAATGGCACTTAACCCAGTAGACCCGATGCCAAAATCACGGGAGAAATCAGGCAGCGGCCGCAATGGGCTTTTTATTACGATTCAGACCGCCGACTCCTCCCGGTGGCGACCCTAGGTACACGCACCCCCAAAGTAGGCTCTCCCGAGTTTCTCACACCAGAAGCACATTCTCCGAACCCAATGCAGGGAGCGGCTGGTGCGAGTCGGCAGGGGGACGCGGAAAATAAGGCATTCTGCTTCCGAGCAGTTCTCAAAGAGGCCCTGGGGACGTGAGGTGGACACCGGGCGGCCGAGTCTGTGCCCCCGCGGGCTCCGAAACGGCTGGCACCCAACACACGGCTTTGTCCCCGTGACGAGCTCCTTACTGAGGTTCCCGAGCATCATCTGCTGAGCCCCCTGTGACCCTGGGGTCCGGGACTCAGGGATGAGGGGCACGCAGCCCCTCGACGTCCGGGTCCCTCGCCCACCGGAGCTCCCCGCGAGTTCTGCGGCCTGGCACCTGTGTGGACGTCGCCTCCCGCTTGGCGGGGAGGATGCGCGCGCGCCCCGGGCCGGGGATGCTGACTCAGCCCGGCTGCTCGCCCACATCCCTCGCGCGCAACGCGATGCTGTCGCTTCTGCAGCAAAGGGGGGAAAGCAAAGCGCCCGCGACAGCCGGCCGCGAGCTTCCTGGGGCCCGCACACCCCCCCCCAGGGGAACCGCTGGGGTGCGCGAGTTGACGAAATCGGGGGAAGCGGGCATGAGAGGAGGAACTCGGGGTCCGCGGCGCCGCGCGCGCAGCTCACACCCGAACTGGAAGGAACCTGTTCTGCCCGGGGCGGGCGCTGAGCCGCCGCAGCCCGGAGCCCGAGCCCTCCGGGCGCGGGCGGGGCCGGCGGGAAGGGAGGCGGCCCGGGGACCCCGCACGTCCGGCCGGACGTGTCCGCAGAGTGGGTGCCGGCGCGCCCCGCTTACAGTGCGGCCGAGCGCCGGGGTCCGGTCGGGCCAGGCGCGCCAGGATGCGCGGGGCCGGGGCGGGTGGGGGGCGGTCCCGCGGGACCCCACGGCCGGTCTGGGGTCTGGCACGGCGAGGCCGTTACCTTCCGTGACCCACGGCCCCGGCCCTGGGCGGGCGCGGGCCCGGCACGGCCTCGTCCACGTGGGCCGGCGCGCGCACGCCGGGCCGGCCCCCTCCTTGGCGGCGCTCCGCGCTCGCAGCACATGGTCGGCGGCGCGCCCCCGAGGCCGGCGGAGACCGGCTGCAGCCGGT